GAGGAAGGGAGAGGGAGAGATAGAAACATCAATGATGAGAGAGAATCATGGATCGGCTGCCTCCTGCACGCCCCACACTGAGGATCAAGCCCACAACCTGGGCATGTGCCCTGACTGGGAATTGAACTGTGACCTCCTGGTTCATAGATTGACACTCAACCACTGAGCCACACGGGCTGGGCTCATTGGTTGCTTCTTGTATGTGCCCTGATGTGGGGTTGAACCTTAAACCTTGGCGTATTCGGGGGGCCCTCTCACCCATTATGCTACCCGTCCAGGCCCCTTACTACGAAACAAAACCTCCTCTGGTGACTTTAATAAATGCCAGTGGGTTCATGCCATGGTTGGGAAACCCTGTCCCGTCCCGGGGGCCTGGTGCCCTGGCAATGCCTCCCCCAGGGCAGCCCCCGGACCAGGCTGGGCAGCTGCCAGAAATGCCTACCATTCCCATCTTCACCTGGACTGCTTTGGTTCTACTCTGTTTTTTTATCAACTAGCCCCCTAAAAACTACACCCTGCCCTGGCCAGTGTGGCTCAGTGGATAGATTATCGGCCTGTGGACTGAAGGGTCCCAGGTTCGATTCCGGTCAAGGGCACAGGCCCAGGTTGTGGGCTCCATCCCCAGTGGGGGGCATGCAGGAGGCAGCCGATCCATGATTCTCTCTCATCATGGATGTTTCTCTCTCTCTCTCTCCCTCTCCCTTCCTCTCTGAAATCAATACAAATATATTTTTTTAAAAACTACACCTGGTTCCCTGTGGAGAGAAGGCTCCGGAAGCAGCTCTTTGTGTTGCTCTGAGCACTCTCTCTCTCTCTCTCTCTCTCTCTCTCTCTCTCCCCCACAGGCTGGACAGCTGCGGCCTCACCGCCAAATCCTGTGAGGATCTCTCCTCCACCCTGGGGGTCAACCAGACCCTGACCGAGCTCTACCTGACCAACAACGCCCTGGGCAACACGGGCGTCCGGCGGCTGTGCAAGCGGCTGAGGCATCCCGGCTGCAAACTGCGGGTCCTGTGGTGAGAGGGGCCTGGCGCTGCGGGAGGCGGGACAGGGGCCATAGCGCCCTGAGCAAAGGGCAATCACCATCGCCATCGCCATCGCTGAGCCCAGGTTTTGGGTTCCATCCCCTTGGCAGGGTTTGGGGGGGAAGTTGGGGGGGCTGGTGGCGGCGGGAAGGGTGCTGGAGGGCTGGAGGCAGCTGCTCAATAATTCTCTCTCATCATTGATGTTTCTATCTCTTCCTATCCCTTTCTCTCTGAAATCAATAAAAATATATTTTAAAAAAGAAGAGCCCTCGCTGATTTGGCTCAGTGGCTAGCGTTGTTGGCCTGTGGACTGAAGGGTCCCGGGTTCAAGCCCGGTCAAGGGCACATGCCCAGGTTGTGGGCTTGATCTCCAACAGGGGGTGTGCAGGAGGCAGCCGATCAATGAATTCTCTCTCATCATTAATGTTTCTATCTCTCCCACTCCCTTCCTCTCTGAAATCAATATATATGTATAAAATAAAAGCACGGCTTTCTTTATTTTTTTTAAATATATTTTATTGATTTTTTTTACAGAGAGTTAGAAACATCAATCAGCTCCCCCTGCACATCTCCCACTGGGGATGTGCCCACAACCAAGGTACATGCCCTTGACCGGAATCGAACCTGGGACCTTTCAGTCCGCAGGCCGACGCTCTATCCACTGAGCTAAACTGGTTTCGGCAACATGGCTTTCTTTAAAATTTTTTAAATTAATTTGAGAGACAGAGAGATTTGTTGCTCCACTCATTTATGATATATATATAAATTTCAGAGAGGGGGAGAGAGAGAGAAACATTAATGATGACAATCATGAACCGGCTGCCTCCCGCCCATCCCACACTGCGGATCGAGCCCACAACCCGGGCCCTTCACCGGGATCCAACCTGGCACCCTTCCATCCGCAGGCTGGCACTCTATGCACTGAGCCAAACCGGCCAGGGCCATTGCTTGATTCTTGTCCTTGCCCTGCCTGGGCATCCCACCCTGACGGGGGATCTAACCCACGAGCTGGCGTGTCAGGACGACACACACGATGGAGCTGATGTGCGACCCCACGCCCCTTTGTACCCGCAGGCTGTTCGGCGTGAACCTGAGCACGGTCACCCACAGGGAGCTGGCGGCCCTCCGCTGGACCAAGCCTTCCCTGGACATTGGCTGCTGACCGCTCCTGCTCCTGCTCCTGCCCTGCCCGTGTCGCCGCTGCAGGAGGCAGGCCATCCATTCGGCCGCTCTCGTCCAAAAGGCCAGACTCTGTGTGTCTCTGGGTCCTCAACACACACCCCAACAGGCAGAAGCTGCAGGGTCTGCGTGCCCGGCGACACGGAGCTCTAGGTTTGGGGATGTGGGTGCCATGAGGGAATGGAGGGCAGCAGGGGCTCCCCACGCAGGGGATGTCGCCCCACCCCCACTCCGGGGGACACTTGGCAAGGCCAGGAGATCTCGGGGTGTTGGGGACTT